TCCTGAGCTGCACAGGGCAAGACTCACAACCAAACAGTTCAGGGAGCGTTCCTTAAGAAACCAGAGCAAAAGCTCTTACATCACTGTTTGCCATAGGAGAGTATTTCAGTCTGCGTGCGCAGAATTCCCCATTTTATTTACCCTGTGGATGAAGAAGAATCTACTCCCTTCACGTAGCGCTCCTGCTGCAGGTGGATGTTCTTCCCTCTCACTGTGACAGTTACCACGGGAAAACCTTTCTGCAGTGTCCAAGTGTCCATCATTGCTCTCACATCAAGAGTCTTTCTGTTAGTCCAGTGCTTGTTTTTAGTGAGGGAAAAAGACAACACATAAGAAGAGGAGGAAGATGGGAGTACACCGACAGTGAAACAGAAACGGGTATGTAAGAATTCTGTACAAGCTGCTGGGTATTTGTAAGCTGTACATGGGTATGTTTAGACTGGGTATCACAACATCTCCAGCTGGTTTTCTTGTGGACATTTTCACGTAGTTAATGACAACTGTTGAAGTACTGCTGTTTTTCAGTCAGCCCAGGTCACAGGAGTAGGACTTCTATCCAATCTCAGAAAAAACAGATTTCCAATGGAACTGAAGAAACTTACACTCTCCCTAGAACTGTGCTCAAGTGGCAAAGAATGCTTTTGGAAGGTGCATGCCTCAATGCCACAGCACAGAACAGTAATGTGAGAGGGCACAGATACATGTCAATACATCAAATCCTGACAGGTAAAAAACTACATGCTTACTGCATTTGAAGATGACTGTTGGCTTCTTCTGCAAAAACCATCACCTTGTAGGTCACTTTTGTCAGTGACTGTAGGGCAAATCTGAAAGGAAAAAAAAATGTTTTGGTCATCTCTCTGAGGTCATATTCATAAGTACTGGTCACAGTCTTCAGTAATGTATTACAGACACATTATTCATGACAAGTTAAGACATTTGAAAAAAATAAGAAAATAAGGAATACTTGCATTTGTGATGCTGTTCCACAAATCTTCATTTTTTGTATTCTGATAGCTGTATTTCTGCAGGTACTGCACAACTCCAGCTTTAAACACATCAGCAGTCAGGTAGTCCCTCAGCATATTTAATAAACAAGATCCCTGAAAAAAAGAGTGACAAGAATGTTTACAAAGCTACTCCTTAGCTGGCATGATGCTTGTTTCAGAAAAATTTCAGCATGCCGCTGATCTACATCACAGTTTGCTTTTGTATGTCTCTCTGATTAAAAAATAATTGGGTTCTATGTATATCAGAACAGTACTTTGTTTTTTGTGATCATTATATTTAAAAATATCACTGATGCAGTTAAGTTATATTATTATTTCTGTATTACTATACAAGCCACATAATGCTCCAGTGAAAAACGCTTCTCAGGTTAAAAACCTCAAAAAATGGCTTAAGACTAAATTGATACAGAACAGATTGAAGAAGTAAAGGCTTCCTCATTTTATAAATGGAAAAGGCAACTGCCATTTCAATCCACCCACGTGTTTTGAACAAAGAACTATTCAAGTCATAAAACCATTAACACCATGTATCAGAGACGTTTTATTCGGAGCGGTGAAATCAGTAAGATACAATCGTATAGTACAAGCAGTACAACTGAAATCAATAGCAGTTACACATTTTACCTTCTCATAAGAAACATTATCAAACATTTCTAAAATTTGAGCTGGATGTTCCACAGGATTAGATATAGGATGTGATGAATTTAATGCATCCACTGCCATGGCATCAAAACATCTCCTTAAGACATAATCTTCCTAATAGGAGGCAAAATAAAATATTACCACTAAATTTTGCTCAGTGACCACTGAATCCCTATTCATTCACTTTTCAGTCCATTCCACATGATCTTTAAATCATACAAAGAAAGCAAAACATATTTTTATTTTTACTCCAGAGCATAAAGAGACTGTGTAATACACACAGTCAAATGAGTTTTAGTGTTCTAAGCTAACTTAAATAGTTGATCTAGCTGAAGATGTCCCTGCTCATTGCAGGGGGGTTGGACTACATGACCTTACAAGGTCCCTTCCAGCACAAACCATTCTGTGATTCGATTCTATGATTCTAAAGAGTCAAGCTAGTAAGACTTAAAAACAATTACAAAAAGACACCCACACATTCTAACAGTTTGATTGGTCAGTAACCATAAAACAAATTAAAAAAAAAAAAGGTGGATTTCCCTATTACCATGCCACTGTAGCACTATGGCAAAATTGTGCTCAGATGCATTGTTCATCTCACTTTGGTAGAAAATTTCATATATCAGACATCTGCTAAAGCTAGTGGAAGGATTTTAGTGTTTTCAAGTCTGACTCTATTTGATGAAATTAAATAATTTCTTTACGTTTTGGGGCACCTAAATGTTTTAAAAAAGAATATATTTTCACTGCAATCATTTAACTTCCATCATAAGTTCCTGAAAATATTTACATATAGTTAAATCAACATTCCTACCCTTCAGAGTTAACATCAGATAATCCTCTCAAATGGAAATGTAAAAGTGGTTCACAGTACAAATCTGCTTGATCTTTATCCTTACTAATGAGTGGATTTAGAAGGTAGTTAGTTATGAAATAAAAACATATTAACTGCTGCTTACAACTCTCAGTTCAGCATGGGTAACACTGACTGACACAAACTCCATGAACTTTGCAAATCCTTCATTTAACCACAGATCATTCCACCACTCCATGGTAACGAGGTTGCCAAACCACTGCGGAAAAAAAAAAAAAGCGCTTCTGAAATTAAATACACAATTTATCACAAAAGCTGCTAGTGACCTGGATAAAACTGCATTTATAGTATGTTATTGACCTTTAAGGAACCTTTCTTCAGTGACAGCGCTTGCTCTGGCCTCTTCCCACTGCATGTCTCATTTTAATGGTAATAAGCTAAAACACTGGCTTCCACTCACATTCCAGGAAACCCGGTAATGAAACCACGCTTGGCAGGAGAGCCATATATGAAACAGTTAGCTTTCCAAACTTTTATGTTCCTATTTTGGTGGCCTGCAATTCATTTCAAGGGCTGAAAATGTGCAAAAGCTGCGCAGCATCAGAGCTGCTGAACTGAACACATTTATGTTTACAGCCCTCCGCGTCTACGCAGCCTGCCGGGACTCTTTCAGCAGAAACAGTCCTCCTGATTCACAGATGAGCACCCTCAAGCCAAAGCAACTATTTTCAGCTTATAGCTCCAAGATCCCCTTACCCACACAGGATCCATCAGGCCTGACCCCTCTGCAGGCCCATTCAAACTCTTTATTCTTCCCCAAATCTCACCTGATGAGCCAGCTCATGGGCTATCACCATAGTAGTCCAAAGTTTGGAAGATGCTGAGGACTTTTCAGGGTCGTACAGCAATGCAGATTCCCGGTATGTGGTCAGTCCCCAGTTTTCCATAGCACCAGACTGAAAATCAGGAATAGCTGCTAAATCTAGAAAAAACATTAAAATAGTACTAGTGTCTTTTTACTCAATAAAGAAATCTTGCTCACCCACTCATCCCGCTCATCCCACTCATGACAGCGCCCACACAGGTGCACATAGTCACACATACTTCTAAGGGCTCTCTTAAATGTAATCATAAAAACATACTTTAAAAAAAAAGCTCTATCCGGAAGGATCTTCAGTTCCCAGTGGAGCTTTTCAATTTGTCTTTAAGTTCTGTGAGGCAGACAGTTTAAAGGCCTGTGAGACAAACCTGGCCCTGCCCTAATAACTCTAAATTTCTGATTCTGTGCTATTTTACTCTCTGTGCTTAATAATGTTCTCAAATACATTAAATTATCTAACACCTACCTTGTTTAGGTAGAGGATACGGAATGCTGAAATAATCCTCATAGAAGTCTAAAAGTTTCACCGCTGCATCTAACGCATAGTCAGCTTGGTTGATCTTGTCTGGCACCGTGTACACGGAAATCTGCGTACAGATGAGCAGGCAGCACTTCAATAGCAGCATCAAAAGCTTAACAGATTACAAGCCCATTACCAAAAACTTTTGAAACTAATAAAGCCCAGAATGCAAACTAACCACCCAGTTACAAAAACAGTTTCTTCCTCTCCTTTCATTCTCATAAAACATTGAGAAATATAAATCCAATGATTTAACTGAAAAGTAAACTAGTATGTATTCATACAGATTTAAATACAAAAAAGCTCTTGGAAAATGAGACAGAGTTACCTTAACTCCATGACGGGTTATTTTGCTGATGGATTTAAAATCTGAAACAATAAAGGCCACGAGGTATGTACTCATCTTCACAGTGGTATCAAAATTGTCCTCAACAAGCCAGGGACTTATAGCCACAGACTTCACCTAAAAAAAGAGCACAGCTCATCACCCAGTAGCACCACCTGTGAGGACCTTGGCACCAACAACTGTTGTGTTTCTTCTCAGTTTAAAGATTACATTACATTTTAAAATACTACATTACATTTCAAAGATACTGTATTTCAAAGACACCCTGGAAAGAAGTCATCTCCATGCCCACTCTTCCGCACAGAGAGAAGGAAAACACACATATGTAGGTATATGGGCGCTTTCATTCATAAGCATTACTTACTACTGCATCGGTAAAACTAGAAAAATGAAAACACTGTTTATTGCTTCAGTTTTCCTCAGTGTCTGCCAGCACACTGATCAAATTAATTTCATACAACTTTAGCTCATTAGAAGCTGTAGAAATCTTAGCAGCCATTGTTACAGATGAGAGAAGTTAACTCCTCCAAACTGTGATTCAGTTACCTCAGATCTCTAGTTCAGCACAAAATGAATCACGTGTTGGAGGTATCCATGTCAAACTAACCTAGACCTGGAACATGTTTAGCCACGCTAAGCTGTAACACTGGCACCCACTCCTTATTCATTATTTCATCCATTTCTCTATAAAGGAAGTGTTTTTTTATACCACCTTTCAGGATGTTTCATTTTTGAAAGGTACTTGGTGGAGGGGTGGAAGGGTGGTATTCCCTCATTTACAAGGGCTGGTTTCCTTGCCAAACAGCAAGTAACAGTGAAGAAGAACTTAGGAAGAGTCTATTCCACCCAAAGTAAGATCAAATGTACAAAACGTAGTTAACCCAGTATGCGCATACGCATTTATAACTGTAAACAATATTTTTAGCTACTACATGTATGGCACTTTCACGCCAAGAGGTTTTTTGGAAGTCCAAAGTTTGTTTGTTTGTTTTTTACACAGAAATGGTCCTACTTATCTGACAATTAAGTAATAGACATGAATCATGTATTTATTCATATAGATTTCATCATTAATCTCAAAATCTAAGATCAACATGGTAAGCATTTTGTGAGTAAAATAAAGATTAGGGAGACTATACTCTGCTGATCATTCTCACACCTCTGCTGAGAAGCAGGAACCCACACAATGCGCTATTTTCTTCATTCCTTTTTAACCTTGTGTCAAGACTACCAGCAGTAGCACCACACACTCTCATAAAAGAACTGAGGTAATGGTCAGGTCACTATTTCATGTAACGGCAACTGCCTGGATATTCTGTTCTCCTTTTGCTGTCTTGTTTCAAAGGCCCATCAGTCAACAACACATCGTTAGAAGTATCCACCTACAATTGGCATATTGGACAGTGCAAGGTGCTTTGGTTCCCTCCGAATCTTTATTGAAAACCTGGCTTTGAAGGCTGGTTCATCAAAACACGGGAAGGCCATTCGCGCAGCTGTCGGCTCAAACTGGGTGGCTGCAAGCACCCTAAGCGGGGGGAGAAGAAAGGGCTTTGGTCGCACACCTTTATACACACAGTGTTCACACACCCCCCCCCCCGCCCCGGATGCGTGCAAACATAGTAATTCCACATTTACAAAATAACTACAGGTACTAGCAAAAACTTTTGCACTTGTGCTTTAACCCCAGCCGGCAACTGAGCCCCACACAGCCTCTCACTCACTCCCTCACAGTGGGAGAGGGGAGAGGACTGGAAGAGTAAAAGTGAGAACACTCGTGATTGAGATAAAGACAGTTTAACAGGTAAAG